CGTTGCTGTTTGACGTCATGTATGGTTTTCACAGGACATGGCAGAATAGAAAGTTAATTACTACGGGCTTGTCAGTTAAAAGCTTGGGTAAAATTTAAGAGAGCTTTTTCCGGTCGTTTGAATACATAAAGATGATTTATCTCTCGGATGCGTGTACGCACTACCTGTAGAGCAGGAATTAAAATTTTGACATTTCTGGTGAAACTTCATATAGTGATGATTTAGATAGATGATTTTTGGTGGATATTTTTTCGGATACCAAGTTAAATATGTCTGTAAAAAATGTTTTATTTGTGAAAAGTAGATACAACGTAAACTTGAATTGGTGAAGTACGAGTTTGTATATCTATTAAATTCGGAAACTATTAATAATTATGTGGTTATATAGCCGTAACAATAATAGGTAAAGCCCAAAATGATTATTATTTTTGTTATTTTCAATTTTGTATAATGTTGTTGGAAAACCAATAGATAATATTACATTTTTGTAAAACAATCCGCAAAATCGTGATTTTGCGGTGAAATGGAATTTACAATACGCAGAAATTAAATTTCCAATAATTGCATTATTACCAATGTAATATAGTAATATGATATATTACATTCCGAATAAACAAATTATGTCAATACTGTAAACCAATATAATCAGCGTGTGCTATTTGTAGACGGTCACGTGTTGTTTATTTCCGATAAATCGGCATGTGACCCCCGGTCGGTGAAGACCCCGAGGCCACAAGATTTCGTCTTAAACCCGATCTTGTGCGTATACGTACTCGCGCAATATACAGGTAATGTATACTTGTACATTTCACATATTATATAATAAACGTTTATACAATAATTTACCTATGTACAATAATAATATGTAAATATGTAAATATGTTCCTGGGAGACGATTCATCATCGGGTTCTCTCGTTTAAAACGACTACCACGAGTCGCTTTATATGTATATATCGCACGCAAATAACGCCGTTTCGAGGGGGCGGACGAGTTAGCTAGTGGAAATAGGGGAAAGTAATAATAATAAAGCGCATTACGGTGTTTTTCGCTTTTGCGGTGGCGGTGGCTATGTGATTTACACGTTTCATTTCGCACGCAGAAATATTAATGATTCCGTCCGACGTGCAATATTATTATTATCATTCGTTCGGGGACGGCGCAAAAGTCTTGTGTAATAACAAACCATGCGGCATCGCGCGTACGACTTCACCGCGCACACCCAACTCTATAATAATAATATGCGCGTTCGCGGCAGCCACAGGTTGTTCACGTTATTCCGCGGTTAAATTAGATTAAACATTATCGTTTTAATATGTAAAATATAATAATACGAACGATTTATAATAACGTGAGATCGTCACGACGAAATTATTAACGTCCTCATTACCGTTGCCGACGTCCGACTCGCGATAACGGTAATAACAACACTGTCGCGTGAACGTAAAGCGCGCGAGTGTGTGTGTGTGTGTGTGTGTGTGTGTATTATATTATCATTTTCCGGAGACTTTAGCGGCACCGAATTATTATACGCGCGCGTTCATTGCGGAAAAATGACGAGCTCGAAAATTGCACGAGACCGTAACGCGGACATCATCAATCTTTCGGTGGATTTTTTTTCGACCGCTAACCGATTTTTCCACTACTAACACGTGTACTCGTTTGTTTTTTCATTTGTCCGATGGTCGGTTCGCAAGCACACACGACACTCGCACGTCTCCAGTCTCTACCCTCGTATGCCTGCAGCCGTTAGCACACGACTTTCGACCCTACTTTTTTTTCGCTCTCATTACTACTTACCCACCCCCACCACCAACCGACGGATAGCTTTGATCATCCGATTATGTTTAGTTTATCATTTTTCGTCGATATTTTTATTCCTTTTCCATAGTCTTCTGCTGGTTAAAATTTAAACCGTACAATATACATTTGCTACACGCATGCACAATAAAATATTATCGTCGAATCGTGATCATTAATTGGTATGAGTCCCGCGGTCCCGACAGAGTTCTCAGAGCATAGCAAAACATATAATATCCTATTACTATAGTTACTCGTCATATTGTTTTCAATACAGAAAAAGTCAGGTGTTTATTTATTTTTTCGTAGAATTTTTACTCTGATACTATTTAGTGTTCAAATAATTTTATATGATCTACACGTACGTAATTATATTTGGGTAGGATCTTTGTCGATTTGTAGTATTAATGAGACTATTCTGCAATTCAAAATGGTTAGAAGATTTAACTAAGTATTATTAAAACCAATAATTATTATAATTATTCAATATAAGGCATTGAAAGTTTAAAATGCGTTTTTTATCCGAAACATATAATTAATAAGTTAGCATTATAAGCCACGTATGAATCATAAATCACAAGTACTGACGTATTGTATTAACTTGTTTGTTAGTATTTGAAACAAATTTAGAAAAGTATTGACAAGAATTAATTTTAATGGTACGAGTTAAAATAGTGATCATTCAATATTTCTTTTTTTTTTGTATGTACTCGAGAGATAAAATAAAGTAGAATTATAAATTACCAAATTTATCATAAAAATATTTTAAATTGTGAATTATATTATTATTATAATGTCTTATAATAATTATAAAATGTATTATTATAATAGGAAAAAATACATTATCATAAAATGCACATGATACTAACGTGTTTAACCTGTAATTTTTTGTCAGTTTTTGTGTAATCATAAGAATGATAATGAAACTGTAGACTCGACATTTGGTGATTAGCCATTCCTAAGTAGTGTAATTTAATTACATTTAGAATTTTTTTTTACTACGGTTTTTAAATCTCTAACACCAGAATTTATCTTAAATCGTAATAACATATATTTAATACAGATTTAGTTAATAAATTAATAACAATACACAACATCGTATTCATTAAGATGCTAATATATTCAACTTAAATGCTCCATCTATTATCATCCATTTAACTAAAATTATTAAATATGTGATTTAATTTCTTTAAATGAGAAATAATAACCTACAGACATATTCATTTTCATACTAAAATATTTCCTTAAAGATTTACTTAAAAATTGAAAAATATATAATTGAGTTTAAAGAATTATGCTTATATGTTTATGTAAAACATTTGATGTGAAAATGCGTAATATAAACTATGACTTAAGCAACTCTGATTATGTATCTAGAGAAAATATTCTTTTTTATTACTAGTTGATTTATTTTTAGTTTTGTAATATATCATGAAACTTTATTATTTGATTATTAGGAAGGTGTCATAGGTTAAATAATTGTATTACTTAGTATTATTTTATTATAGAAAATCGCTTCACCTTAAAATTTTAGACCCCTTTTAATTCCCCCAGGAATAGTAGCATATGATAGCTTCCCAGGAATTTCGGAGGTTTTGTAGATGGTAGTGAAATTGTTTGTACAGATTCTTGGCAACATTTTGAACAATAAGGGATAGAATGGTTTTGTTGGAGTGAGTAGTTGGAGACCCAAAATGTAGGCTTGGTGATTTTGTGAAAACATTTTGATTGGAAGGATTGTATACGATTGATATTTTATGACTTGGCCAACCCCCAAAGCTGTAAGTATTCCATAGGTCCATATGTGTTAAAAGTTTTTTTAAGCATGATTTCATTATTTAAGTAAGAAATTTTTGAATCGAGGAGAAATTGACAATGTCGGATTCTATTGTTTAGTGACATTAATTTATTACGGATGTGAGTTGTCTATAGGAAAATCAGCGATACAAGCATGGACATAGGTAACATATATATTGCTCGACTGGAAGTGACGAATTTTTAAAAGTGATAGTCAAGCTTTAATTTTCTAAATTTAAATTTCATTTTTAGTCGAAAAAATAATAACAATTCGAAATAACTTAGTTCTGCTATGCATTAATATTTATTCTAATCTAAAAAAATTAAAAATGATATTCTATATTTTTATAAATGACGACAATATTATTTTATTAATTTTCATTGTTCATTATCATGCTGTTTACTGTTAGTCTTTATTCTGAAACATCAATAACAACAAAAAAAGAGGTCCAAATCGACTGGAATAAGGCATTTAGAGGAAATGACTTTTGGGAAATAACGCAGAAAGGGTTTATTTATCACCCCCAGTGTGTTGAAACATAATACTTTTTGAATGTGTTTTACATGATAGTAGTTTGTGCATCGTTTGATGCCCAATATCTTTTTGAAATTTAACATGTTAACGTGTTCAACAAACGTATAATATAAAATAAGATAATGTTTAGAGATAATTTTTTAATAATGTTTTAATGTTAAATTTACATTCAAAAAATCCTCATATTCTAATAAGCATGTAACCATATTTATGATCATATCGTTAAAGCATAATATAAAAATTGTTTTGTTTTAAAAGCATATTGAACAACCAAAATTATTTTCAGTTGACCTATTTGAAAATGGTAGTAATTATTCGATAGGGTAACGGCTGGATAAGTTTTTTTTTAATAATGTACTTTTTTTTTTTCTTACTGTAATTAAAAAGAACTGTATTCTATACGTTTTATATTATTATTGAAAAGAGTCACGGGATTATGTACCAATTAGTTTTTTTTGCAGTCTTCTATACTTATACTGTATAAATGTATATGAAGGGTACAAGAGTCACGCACTGTGGTTAATGACATTAAAAGGGATCTGTTAAGTTATCTGATCAAACAGATGTTACAGTGGGCTAATGTAATGATCAAATTCATACCATATGTCGGTTCCATACTAATTGCAGTAAATCAATTTTTTATTCCCATTGACTTAATTCATTTACTGTACATTATATAGACAATGTTGTAAGCTCATTAACATTTTGAAAACTATTTAAAATAGTTTATTATTATTTGCAAAATATTTTTAAATAATTCAGATTTAATTAAGTTGCATTTATTATGCTAAAATTCTCAAATAGAGGTTAAATATATTTTATTAAACACTTCAGAAATTGACTAAAAGTATTTACATTTTTTTTTTTCAGAAATCTACTTTCATTATAATATGGAGAAGACTATACATAAAGAAAATAAGAAGATATTGTAAGTAAAACATGAAAATACTAATCAGGGGCGTGCGGTCAGGGTAAACTAAGTAAGCGGCGTATGTTCGGCAAAAAAGGAAAAAATAAGAAGTGAAACATTTTTTATGTTAATTGACAATGCGACTTATAAATTAAAATTACAAATACTTATTAATTCTTATTAAGGTATTAAACTTAAAAAAATGTATCAGGTTTCTTTGAAAGGAATTAAATTAATTTTTTTCCTTATAGGCCATCTTTTTACAAAAGTGACCGTATTTTAGATTGCCCGGCCCATATCGTTATTATAGGAATGATTGGTTGCAGTAGAAGGGGATATCCACTTTTTTGTGTGGTGGTTAAAAGTGATATGCCGAGCGCTTATCGATATTTTTAAAATCTTAATTCCAATATTTTGCTGTTGTATATTGAATTATTTAACTCATTTTAACTATTCCTCATATAACGACTTCAGTTGAACGATTTTTTTTGGTGTTAATATGAATCAAATCGTATCAAAGATTTACATAAGGCCAGAGTTAAAAAATAAAAAAGAATTAATAAAGACTTAGTTCTTTATATTATTTTAAGTCAAAAAACAGCTCCTACATAAAAAAAAAATTAATCCAGAGTTTTTATGATAAAAATTTAAACGAATTTTTGATAAAAAGAAAACGTATGAATTTAATCTATAAACAAACTTTAGTTAAGTACCTAATTTTTATAAATAAAATACTCGATATTTTGTTATCTAGAGCACGAAACAAATGAAAATTATCAGAAAAAATAATAATAATAATTATAAGTAAAGATAGAAATCGTTTAACAAATACATATGTTAATTACCTTGATCATTTATAAATTTAGAGAAAGACCACAATATGTTTAAAAAAAAACTGCTGGAAATTTTAATTGAAATTGATTTTTTTTTATATGACATTTAATTCATATAATTAAAAGTAATCAATTTTGAATAGAATATTTCTAGTAGAAATTAATTTTGCAAACAATGCATTTTTAAATTGTAAAAAGTTAATGTTTACTGTTTTTTGTATAAGTAATACGGGTTTTCATTTTTGTCATTTTTGTTTTTTTTTTGTTTTGACTGTTTGAAATAGGTATTGTTTTTAATAAATTATTTCATATTTTTGCTTTACGAATTGTTACCTATCATACAAAGTAATTTCTTTAATATTTTAAGATTTATGTTCTTTTCCGAAAAAGAAAGTAAAAATATTACAAAATATTATAATAAGAAATTTAAATAAGAAACAGGAAATCTACTTAAACTTTGAATATTTTAAATTAAAAAACAAAAGGCCATAAATAACAATGATGATTCATCAGAATATTTTAGTTTTTGTTAAATTACGGTTTTATGATATAATTACAAACTAAATTTTAATTAAAATCAAAATTCAATTTATTCTTATAAAATTGTCAATATCCTTTAATTTCATGAAATAATAAAAACATATATTTCATATACCTATTAAATGCGTTTTTTGTGATAACTTATCAGTATTAAAATAAAATTAAAATTCTTAATTAAGTGAATAAATTATCTCATATAAATTATTTCAGTTTTATGTTATATATAAATTATTAATTAATTATACAAACCCTCTTATTAATAATAACTATAATAATTAAAAAATAATATACGGTGATGTAATTTATGGTAGCGCTTAAATACTGAAACGTGACCTATCATGTTTTCATCTTTTATTTTTTTTAATAAATTTGAAAGGTTTTTATAATTTAACCAGTATGAATTTGTACACAAAAAACGATATGCGTATTGTTTTTAGGAGAATCAATTTAGTAGTATAATCGCGTGACATATTTTAGCTACGATTCAATACATCGATGTACCTAAATATAATACATAATAAAATATACATAGGTGCTGTACAGGTTTATTATGGTGACGAAGTCAATGGATTGTGTTACTGTTCAAGGAATCCTTTAAACGATCATTTTCACTTTAATTAGACATGGTACAGTAAACTGACACTTGATACTTGTATTCGGTATTGATGGTTAATCGCCGAGTACTATAATATAATCTACCACCTTCGTGGCAGAAATTATATTCCTGATTGGAATATACAATAAAAGATTAATAAGTATATATATATATGCATATTTAAAATTTAAATATTATTTTTGACCATAAAATTATCCATGGAATAGCTTCTTAAAGTTCTATCCAAAGTTGTTGATTATTATGATTGGGCACGTTTATAACAGGTTACTAAACATGCTTATCAACTGTGTACATATAGTCGTGACAAATTGCAGCTGTTCCAGCTGAGTACGTAATCCCCGCATGACTGTATAGCAGTCAAAATTATGCAGCTGATTCTATTCCAGACTGAGCAGTATTGTTTAAACAATAAGTTCAAATCGTGAATTAATTAATAATATCAAAACAGTTCAACAGATTATTAATATATTATACGTACAAATGCAATCATAAAAATAGTATTTGAGGAAACTCATGTTATTTGTGAACTTTATGTTAAAGAGTTTTGTTAGTTGTAAAATTATATTTGTTTTATTTATTTTTATTTGTTTTTTGTGTTACATGCATCTTTCTTAAAAATATCATTCTTTTTTCATTAATTTTTCATTCATTTACAATTATTAAAATTTTCAAAGTAATCTAACGTCAATACAATTATAAATGCAACACAAGTAAAACTTTGTATTTAATCGAAAATACAAATAATTAATCCAAAATGTCTGTGATAGAAATATGGCAGATATTTATATACTATACCTAATTAAATAATTTGGTAGTGCGATATTTTCTCAATTGTTGTCCAAGACAGATTAACAGGTAAATTAATTAGTTTTTTTATTTTTTGATGCAGTTCACTACTTAACTCTAAAATATGAAGGAAACATTTATTACTCTTTAAATAAATATTTTTTGCAGAGATGTTTTGTTCTTTAAAAACAATATTTTATGTATTTTAAAGCATAATACTTACATAGTCATAGAAAAAATTTATAATTTTATTATGGATCCCTATAATAATTGTTTATTTATGGTTATAAAATTTTCTAGAAGCATTTTTAAATAACTCTAATAAGAGCACACTTGATTTTATCATTTCCAATAAGAAATATTCAATATACCAGCGTTTACTCCTCGAAACATAACTGTGTATAGTCATATAATGAGATGATCAATAAAGTAATGATATGATAATACTTACAGTTATACATGAAACTAACTAAACTTTTATAAATCAAAAAAATAAAAATAATGAATAAAATTGTTTTAACTACTTTAATATTTATTAAAATTAAAAAAATTGATAATTTGAATTGAAATAGGATTTGAACCAAGATCGAAATTGAAAAGAATAAAATATAGTTTAAAATTATTAAAAATTTAAGAACTTAAAACAAAATGTATTGATTATGTACTGGTATGTGGTTAATAACTCTAACACGCATAAATATTATAAAATAACAGCACAGTTTTCATATTTACGAGTAATTCGATAACAACTTATTTATTTAAATTGCATGGTAGTATATTGTATTATGATTGTAAGTAAATAAAAAACGAAAAGCTTTTTAAGAATAAGGGAATTTAGTTGTATATGTTAGGTAAAGATTTATATATTTTTTAAAACTTTGGTTATCATTTAATCAAGTAGGTAAATAAAATGTATTCATATTATCAGACGAAAACAATAGGTCGTGTAAATTGTTTTAGAGTATGGAAATCTATGGTACATATTTCAAATTAAAAATTATAACTAATTTTTATTTTGTCAGTTTAACGTGAGAAAGTATACAACTATTAAATAATTTTCGTTGGCACTTACTAATATAATATGACAATATTTTTTAAATGCATTACAATGAATAAGGTCGATAAAAGTAATATTTGTTTCAATTAAACACAAGACTAATTGTATATAAGTAATGTAAGTTCTATAGAACCAAAATATTCTAGGTTCGTTTTTGATACGTTTTATTACATAAAATATTATTTTTACAGAACCCAGTTTTCCGAGTGAGTTAAAAATTAATTTGTATTTATAATGTATTTATGAATTAAATTACATTTTTAATATTTATGTTTATATTATTTCATATATTTCAATTGTATATATATATAATAATATCAGGTTTTATTAAGTTTATTATATATGTATACAAATGTATAAAATGCTATACTTGGGTTTTAGTAAGTATTTTATTTATTGTTCAAAAACTTTCAAATTGCACTTTTCAAACACTACTAACCAATCTTTTAATGCTAAAATGTATAATTAATAGTAAAGATAAAATAATAAAAAAAACCTTAAATAACAATAACGAACTCATTTGAAGTTATAAAAACAATGGGTCTTTATGAAAAATTCAATTGTTAGTATAAATATAGTATTATTAACTCGATTTCACATTTCGTTTAATCTGGAAAAATTAACTAAAGTGTTCACTGAAGTTTAAATTTTTTATAATTTGTTTTTTTTTTCATATATAATATGTCCACCATAATAGTTTGTATTTAATTATTAATAATTATGATCTGATATGGAATATATTATAACGAGTTATAACGAGTATTTTAATACATATTTAAATTTAATTTGTCGTGAGCAGTAAGCTTTTAAAAATAGTATTCCCTGTTTAAATTTAAGTTGTTAACACAAAAAGATAATTTCAATATTTGAAAATGTATTAAAATTTCTAATAATTTCAAACTAAAATAATTTATTAAAATGGAAAATATTGTTTACACATAATAATGATTTTCTTGTGTGTTAATATTAATGTCTTTTTACTTACATAGCACTTAACATAAAAATCTTATTGAATAAAAAGTATATACAAAATAAATTATTACAACGCAAGATATCATTTTACACAATAACACCAACTGTCGAGGATGTTTTTGATAAATGCTCGTGTATCGAAAAATGTTTTTACAACCGTTGAGAAACAAGTGAATAAATATGTATAATAAAAAGCGTCGAAAATAAGCTGATT